TGAATAAATTTAACTATGTTTAAGTGGATATCTTTAATTTATTTATTTATTTATTTATTTATTTATTTCGTTGTGACATCCTTGTTTTGCTTTACGAGACCATATCATTACAGAACATCATGACACCGACAATTAAAACAATGGAACCAGGTGCTCAATATGTCGAAGGTCTATAAATACATGACCTTGAGCAGTAACACGCTCACCCAGGAGGTCGACAGAAGTAAAACCTTTATCTTACATCATAGTAAATTGCCGGGTCCTGGCTTCTATCTTTCTTGAACAACCACAACATAACAACAACAATAAACAGCGACAACAACAAAACGATGATAACGTAGCGTTTTTAAGGTTAGAATACTGTGAAGCCAAGATACCGAAACCCAGCGTACTCTCGCGAGATATTCAGTTTAGTTTACCAATAATTCTGTTACATCTGCTACCAACCCAAATAATGCCTGTACGAATTATTTCGGTCTATTTAATATTTCGGTCTATTTAAATGTCTTTATCATACGGATATTTCTCATTTGCCAGCTGTTGAGAGCCCTATCGGCACGTGATCTAGATATTTTGTAACTCAATGAAGTCAAGGATAGCAATGTTTAAATGTATAGCGTTATTAAACTATTGTGGACAAGTGAAGGAAGCAGTGAACCGTACTATTATCAAAACATACTTCTAAAAAGCAAACTATTATATTTGAATTAAAAATTGCATTTTACATATGTTATGAAATAATTTGATATATTAGCCAATATTTATGTAAATTATTGATGACTTGATATTGTGATGTTTTTGTTTTGTAACGTATTGAGGAAAGAGCAACTATAAGTTGGAATAACTTGTGCCCGATCCTTTTGTAAATAATTTACAACAATATATGTTTAATTCAATGAAATAATTCGTATATTTAAGTAAAATTTTGTATCTTTCTGCATGTACTTCAGTTTAAGGTACAAGTAATTTCAGGTTCAATCAAATTTTGGACAGTACATCGAAGTGGTTGAACACAACTTTCTGCAACTAACTAGTCCCTCTCACAAAAATACAGTACAAAATACCTACAGATAACACAACTTACTAGTCCCTCTTACAACATTACTGTACACAATAACTACAGATACCACAACTTACTAGTCCCTCTCACAACAATACAGTCCACAATAACTACAGATAACACAACTTACTAGTCCCTCTCCTAACAATACAGTACACAATATCTACAGATAACACAACTTTCTTTGCCCTCTCACAACATTACAGTACATAATATCTACAGATAACACAACTTACTAGTCCCTCTCCCAACATTACAGTACACAATATCTACAGATAACACAACTTACTAGTCCCTCTCCCAACATTACAGTACACAATATCTACAGATAACACAACTTACTAGGCCCTCTCCTAACATTACTGTACACAATATCTACAGATAACACAACTTACTAGGCCCTCTCCTAACATTGCTGTACACAGTAACTACAGATAACACAACTTACTAGGCCCTGTCCTAACATTACTGTACACAGTAACTACAGATAACACAACTTATTAGGCCCTCTCCCAACATTACTGTACACAATAGCTACAGATAACACAACTTATTAGGCCCTCTCCTAACATTACTGTACACAATAACTACAGATAACACAACTTACTTGGCCCTCTCATAACATTACAGTACACAATATCTACAGATAACACAACTTACTAAGCCCTCTCCTAACGCTGCTGTACACAATGACGCTATTTATCAAAATGGTGCCTTTGTAGAACTCATCCGAGCTTTTACAAATATAAGGCTGCTTTAAATGTCGCATCATATTTACTCAAGTTTTCGTGTTTTCATTGCCTGTGGGGAAAAAACTGCTAGGGGCTGTAACTCCGTAAATTGCGATAGAATAAATTCCATTGACGGGGTCATCCAAAATCCATAATGTAACTCTGCAGATTACTATTAAATCGTCCCCTCTGTCGAACTTATACGACATTTAATTGATTTTAGACTGCATAACAAACTTCATTAAACTCGATTCATATTTACTCCAGTTCTCGTGTTTTAGTAATAAAACGTCATTGCACAACACAACACACAACATTTCTACAGTTGAAAAGTCAAATGTATATACATTTATAAGATTCGTGTACGTTCTGTCACTTAAGTCTGTGCTCGAAATCTATTAACAGACAAAAGTTCCCCTAAAGGGCACGTGACAGTTTTCTTATTAAGGTTTTGTCAGATTACAAGCGACACGTGCTGTGAATGTGGGGGAAACTCTCGCGTGAATGTTGATCTACCGGTCACGTGATTCCCAGGTCTAAGTGAAACGTGATTATTTGTTTACTTTTAAATGGAAATTTAGTGAAATTGAATCTTTTCTTCTATCGATTTCAATTTTCAAATCGGTCTGTTTTATGTCACCGCAAGATTGGTGTATGTATCGTGTTGTTTTCTAGAATCCTACCATAATTCCGTCGAAACGGTATACTGTGTATGTATCTCGTTTAAAAAGAAAACGAAACGAAAAATATTTCAATTTATTTTTCCAAACGTCTCAGAAAATGTAAAAAAAAAAATAATGTCTGGAAATCGTGATGAGTCTGATACATGTGGAAGCTTCATCCAACTTGATAAATTATCTTTTATTCATCAACGAATAAAAAAAACTCTCTGTCTGTAGATTAATAACAACTTCATACTATTAAATAAGTTTAAACAAATATTTTTTTAAAAAAGAATAGATTGTTCTAAAACTTAATTAGACAGACAGATTGAAGATCAGGAGGTTGAATGGAATCTAGGCCAGTCATCGCCTTCAGATGTCAACAACCGGAAGTTGACAAGTGAAACAACTGAAAGTTTGAACAAATCAGAGAGAAAAAATATAGGGAAAATGAGAAAATCGCCGAAAGGAGTCGAAAAAATTGGATTCGGACCTTCCTAGACATAGCCAATGAAACATGGAGACTCCAGCTATAATTACATGAAATTACTTGCTAAACGTTAGACTGATAGTTGTGATGAAATTGTTGAAAATCAGAATACAGTTAATGTCCAGTTGTCAAAGAAAGAGTTATGGCAGCGACAACGAAACAATAAAACGTGCTAGGGAAGACGTCTTTATCCAAAATTACATATAAAGAATGAAAATATTCAACAAATGTATCGCCATATTGTCTAAACACTGTTCTCAACATTTTCAGATTTTGAGATCGGATTAACCAGTAAAATAGCATCGATTGCGATATTGTTATCACAGTAAGGATGGAAGCTGCTTATATGAAGGAATCAAAATCGTCACGTCCATTATTCAGGTATCATAAAGAATACTTCATTATGGTAACAGACTCTTACAGTCACTGTGTGAGAAATTCTGTGTTCTGTGACGTCATTAAAGTCAGATGTTATCAAGTTGTTCGAAATAAGTCATTAGTATCATATATTCATTGTATTAGTATAGAGCCCGTTATATATACGGTCTGTAATTGATACAGTAAGGCACTTCATTATCGAACGAAAAACATTGCAGACTATTATGGGATGCAAGCATATATCCTCCTATCGGGGTTGCCAGGGGAATAATTCGTAATTTAGGGAAGCGTTTGTTTTAGTATGACCCGTACAATTGGCTGAACTTGTGTTCGCGCGGTAAGACGAATTTTGATGATGATGATGATGATGATGATGATGATGATGATGATGATGATGATGATGATGATGATGATGATGATGATGAACTTATGGATCAACATTGGTTCAGTCGTAAGAACTAAGTTGTTTCATATATCTTAAAACACGTGGATAGACATTGTATGATCAAAGAGCAGGGTTGTCAATATGGATTCCGTCGAATGGTTTCTCGTCCTTCCGTCCTCTTCTCTTCCTCGTTATTTTTGAAACTATTTAGTATTGAGTAGTATATCATATCTGCTATGTTTTCAGAGGAAAATTTCCCCAATAATTATAGTAGAGACAGGTGGTTTTGAGTTTAAGTAAATATGACCTGTTGAACTGATACTCTTACCATTAAATGATATGGAGCATTTCCACGTTTTAAAATAAACATGATTTCTCAATGGCTTCACGGATCAAATCTGATGTCCGTGAGCGTGTTGCTCAGATCCTTACCGCGCTGTACTTCATCTACTAGTCTCGCCTGGAAACACAGCGGTACATACCGAAAAACTTCATGTATAAGGGACCGTAACGGTAATTAGAACCACGAAACGCCCTATAAATGTTATTTAAAGCAACTTACACCGATGAATCGAAAACCCAAGGAAATGTATCAATGTGATAATCTTGAAAATAGAATTGAACATTGTCACCGATATATTTTCAAAGTTTTGTTTGTTTGGTTTTTTTTTCGAAGTTATAGAATACTGTGAAATCTGTCTAGGATTGGGAAAAATGCATAGAATGAAGGATGTTAATTAGATAATTTGATAAATCCATTTAATTAAAAGATAATTAAAAATTGACTTAGTATTAAAGAAAGGTCTCCGTGGTTGCTAGGGGTTACTGATGAAATATTGACATGTACAGTTTTCATCGGAAAAAGAAATTTGCTGAAGATTAGCAAATCGGCAGTCACGATTCGAAGTTAGGTATAAGTCGAGCAACATCGAATTCTTCTCTTTTAGAGATACAAAAGAGTTAAGGACGATGTACCCTTAAATAAAAACATGTGAAGAGGTTATTTTTTATCTTTTCTTTTCGTTTTCCGTTTTATAAGATTTTTTAAAAATCCCAACAATTAAGGTAAATTATCAAATAAACAGAAAGTTTCATGGCGTGTTTGTTTGTTTGTTTATATCGTTTTGTTACTATTTACATTTGTCTTTTTTGTCGTTGATCTTTGAATTATAAATCTAATAATTTCTCGTATATTCTGAAATATGAGTCTTTTGATAGTTACTACAATTACATTTCGATTGGTCGATATTTGCATGGTTTTCAGGTAAACCGCTTTGTAAGTAGGTGTACATACCTGCTTCTGCAAGGTCCAACAAGTGCCATACAATGCCAGCCGACAGTAACATCCAACTCCATACTCGAACCAACATTTTTACCGGGAACTTCTCACAGTGACATATGCCTTGTACTCATCTTGCATCGCAAATTGAAATAATAAATTTTCCTAACATTAATATCCAAGACGGAAAATGTCGGCAATTCATATAGTACAAATTGCTAGGTGTTGTGTTTTACGTCGTTAATACCAAGGCTAGTGAATGCTTGTCAAAAGCTTTTGGTTAAAGCTCCCGGGAGATTCCGACTACGATGTACAGAGTTTCATCTCGTTGTCAATAAGCAGAGTAACAAAACACCCAGGAGACTCAGATCTCAATCATTATTGTCACAGACGCTTGTAATCACTGAACAAACGAGAGCGCTTTCTGTTTAACATACAAATAAATCAGAAAACGTCAGACAGGAGAGTTCAGACCGAAAAATAGCCCAAGTTTACCGTCATTCTACAAAACAGTTGTTATAAGATATTTCGAAGATAAAATTTAATGTTAAATATACTGTCTTTACGAGACTGACGTGACTGGCAGTAAGGTTTCACTTAAACCTAACAGCGTCAAAATGTGAGAACTTCTTTTTTTAATAAATATAACCCGAAATGATGCGGGCACGAATTTGACATGCATAATCGAGATTTGCTTGTCAAACACATTTCAGTAAAGAAATCAAATTCCTGTCGTTTAGAGTTCAAGCCTGTACAGCGTCTCGTCTGAAACACAAAACAGTACGTATCTTAATTTCTGCTTGTCAAATTTTGATTTCAAAATTTTTCCACTTTTCATTTCAAGTTTTACATAATATTCCTCACTTAGATGCAAAATTCAAAACGTTGGAAAGCAAACCTGATTAGTAAATTGTATCTGTTGTTTAATACTTCCAAACACAAAATTCAATATATATTCTCTTTCACATCGGAAACATCCTTTGAATAAATCCATAGAAATCCCCTGATTAAGATTTGCTTCTCAACATGCCGCTATACACAGTGAGAGGAGAAAATACGACCGTCGGCTTCGTCAACGCTTCATCACGCGTCCGTGTTCTGTGTTAGCGCGACAGACAATGTCCACACCACCGAACTGTAGTTAACAACAGCTCCGCGCACCGCTTACTGAATGTGGGCTCTGCCAAACTACGCCCCAATAATCTGCCGAACTGTGCGTCCAATAATCTGCCGAACTACATTACAAGCCACTGTGATGTCTATTCGCTACCGGATACTATCCATGTTATAATGTGTACTCGTGTTCTTGCTTGTAAAATGGAACTCGTTCACGCTTTGTGGAAACTCTTTTATCCGGATTAGGATACGTTAAGGATATTTCACTTTCTGGAAAATACTTTCCGTATAGTAATTTTAAAAAGATAATGATATTGTTTTAGTTCAAACATTTTTTTTATTTAATGATACTAATTCATTTCCCAAATTATCCAAACACATTTAGGTAACAAATTCCAAATTATTTATTCGGAATGGAACTGAGTATACGGAATACATATTGGAAATTTTGAATGTCCGGATTAAAGAGGTGTTTGTAATAAATATTATTGTTTTAAAAATACACTAATGTCCATTAAAATACATAAAAATGTGGTGCTCAACGGTTTAGTATGTCACTTTGTTCAAACAGGTCCCATTTTGATAGCCTAGTCTAGAAGACTGGTTCATGTTCTCATGAATAGGCCGTTGTTCTACCTGTAGTCATTAAGTTTGTTTGTTTGTTTATTTTTGTTTACTTCTTGTTTTTCTTGTTGGTTCATATTTTATCTTACTTTACTTCTTTTTATTCGTCTTGTTTGATCAAGTTTAGTACAGTCAAACCACGTTATCTCGAACTCTAATAACGCGAAGTATTCCGGCGGTCCCAATCAAACTTTACATAAAACATTCTATATTGTTTACATAGGATAACTCGAAGTATTCCCGCGGTCCCAATCAAACTTTACATAAAACATAAAACATTCTATATTGTTTACATAGGATAACTCGAAGTATTCCCGCGGTCCCAATCAAACTTTACATAAAACATTCTATATTGTTTACATAGGATAACTCGAAGTATTCCCGCGGTCCCAATCAAACTTTACATAAAACATTCTATATTGTTTACATAGGATAACTCGAAGTATTCCGGTCCCAATCAAACTTTACATAAAACATTCTATATTGTTTACATAGGATAACTCGAAGTATTCCCGCGGTCCCAATCAAACTTTACATAAAACATTCTATATTGTTTACATAGGATAACTCGAAGTATTCCGGCGGTCCCAATCAAACTTTACATAAAACATTCTATATTGTTTACATAGGATAACTCGAAGTATTCCCGCGGTCCCAATCAAACTTTACATAAAACATTCTATATTGTTTACATAGGATAACTCGAAGTATTCCCGCGGTCCCAATCAAACTTTACATAAAACATTCTATATTGATTACATTGGATTTCTCTAAGTATTGCCAATCAAACTTTACATAAAACATTCTATATTGTTTAAATAGGATAACTCGAAGTATTACCGCGGTCCCAATCAAACTTTACATAAAACATTCTATATTGTTTAAATAGGATAACTCGAAGTATTCCCGCGGTCCCAATCAAACTTTACATAAAACATTCTATATTGTTTACATAGGATAACTCATAAATCATTCTATATTGAAGTATTATTCCCGCGGTCCCAATCAAACTTTACATAAAACATTCTATATTGTTTACATAGGATAACTCGAAGTATTCCCGCGGTCCCAATCAAACTTTACATAAAACATTCTATATTGTTTACATAGGATAACTCGAAGTATTCCCGCGGTCCCAATCAAACTTTACATAAAACATTCTATATTGTTTACATAGGATAACTCGAAGTATTCCCGCGGTCCCAATCAAACTTTACATAAAACATTCTATATTGTTTACATAGGATAACTCGAAGTATTCCCGTCCCAATCAAACTTTACATAAAACATTCTATATTGTTTACATAGGATAACTCGAAGTATTCCCGCGGTCCCAATCAAACTTTACATAAAACATTCTATATTGTTTACATAGGATAACTCGAAGTATTCCCATTCTATATTGTTTACATAGGTCCCAATCAAACTTTACATAAAACATTCTATATTGTTTACATAGGATAACTCGAAGTATTCCCGCGGTCCCAATCAAACTTTACATAAAACATTCTATATTGTTTACATAGGATAACTCGAAGTATTCCCGCGGTCCCAATCAAACTTTACATAAAACATTCTATATTGTTTACATAGGATAACTCCCGCGGTCCCAATCAAACTTTACATAAAACATTCTATATTGTTTACATAGGATAACTCGAAGTATTCCCGCGGTCCCAATCAAACTTTACATAAAACATTCTATATTGTTTACATAGGATAACTCGAAGTATTCCCGCGGTCCCAATCAAACTTTACATAAAACATTCTATATTGTTTACATAGGATAACTCGAAGTATTCCCGCGGTCCCAATCAAACTTTACATAAAACATTCTATATTGTTTACATAGGATAACTCCCGCGGTCCCAATCAAACTTTACATAAAACATTCTATATTGTTTACATAGGATATTGTTCAAACTTTACATAAAACATTCTATATTGTTTACATAGATAACTCGAAGTATTCCCGCGGTCCCAATCAAACTTTACATAAAACATTCTATATTGTTTACATAGGATAACTCGAAGTATTCCCGCGGTCCCAATCAAACTTTACATAAAACATTCTATATTGTTTACATAGGATAACTCGAAGTATTCGGTCCCAATCAAACTTTACATAAAACATTCTATATTGTTTACATAGGATAACTCGAAGTATTCAAACTTTACATAAAACATTCTATATTGTTTACATAGGATAACCCAATCAAACTTTACATAAAACATTCTATATTGTTTACATAGGATAACTCTATTCGTTTACATAGGATAACTCGAAGTATTCCCGCGGTCCCAATCAAACTTTACATAAAACATTCTATATTGTTTACATAGGATAACTCGAAGTATTCCCGCGGTCCCAATCAAACTTTACATAAAACATTCTATATTGTTTACATAGGATAACTCGAAGTATTCCCGCGGTCCCAATCAAACTTTACATAAAACATTCTATATTGTTTACATAGGATAACTCGAAGTATTCCCGCGGTCCCAATCAAACTTTACATAAAACATTCTATATTGTTTACATAGGATAACTCGTCAAACTTTACATAAAACATTCTATATTGTTTACATAGGATAACTCGAAGTATTCCCGTCCCAATCAAACTTTACATAAAACATTCTATATTGTTTACATAGGATAACTCGAAGTATTCCCGCGGTCCCAATCAAACTTTACATAAAACATTCTATATTGTTTACAAAGGATAACTCGAAGTATTCCCGCGGTCCCAATCAAACTTTACATAAAACATTCTATATTGTTTACATAGGATAACTCGAAGTATTCCCGCGGTCCCAATCAAACTTTACATAAAACATTCTATATTGTTTACATAGAATAATAGGACAACTCGAATTTTCCTGCCGACTTCGAGATAAAGAGATTGGTTGCAGTTTTTGAAAACAATTTAGAGTACTAGTTACTAAAGACAGTGTGAATACCCGAGGAAGTTAACTATAGCTAAACTGAAGAGGCTGGTGCTTCGTAAGGGAATCAGGTACGTTGCGCGAACTTCTATCAGAAAGATTCTCGTAACGAAGCGCAGATTGGGTATCAATATTACTTATAAGTCATTTTTAAACTTTAGATACGAAACTTTGACGAACTTTAACTTTCATGTAATTTTTATCAATTTTTCATGAATCGCTCACCAAATTTCCTTATAAATGATCATTTCTGTTAAATTTTTTAAAAATTTTTGTAACATGTATATTTGGATTTAACTCTTAACACGTTTTAACATTTTCATTCACTTTTTGACAACTAAAATATATTTGATTCAGAACCCACCCCCCCCCCACCCCCCGCACCCACCCACACACACACACACA